GGTCCCGCGACTCCGCAGTCCCGGCTCGGGGCGCGGGAGGTGAGGGGCGGGAGGCGCCGTCTCCCTGGGCGGTGGCTGGATCACCTGCGGAATGGGCCCCCGGAGGGTGCACATCTGGGTCCTGGGTCCCTTAGACCCGCTTCCGGAAACCTACCTGGGAAGGGTCCCTACCTTGGGAGACTCGGAAGAGGAGTGGGGGTCGGAGGGCGCCGAGGTTTGCCCTTGGCCTGTGAGCCAGTCAGTTGGAGGAAATTGGGGCGTTCAAAGGCCACTTCTTGGTTATGTAGTCCCAGAGAGACAGGAAAACCTTAACCCCAGTTCCGACTCAGGTGGTCTCAGGAACAGGGAGCAAGACCTCCCACTGCCCCTTGCCTGGCACAGAGCCACTGAACTGCCGTCCTCCACGCCAGAGTGGAACAGCCCCAGCCTTCCCCTCTGTCCACCCCATCTTGCAGAAAAGGAAACTGAGGCTCAGCTCGGGGCCTGCCCCACGGGGTGTGCGTACAGGGAGTGCCCTGGAAGTGATGGGCAGGTGGCCTTGTGGCTGTTTTGTCTCAACAGCTAAAACAAGGGCCTCTGTTTGGGGGGCTGTGAACCTCTGAAATTCTAAGCACATGTCATGTGCGAGCTTTGTTTTGGGATGCTAAGAACCACTGGAGAAACCCACATTGAGGCTGGGGGGCAGGGCAGGGGTGTGAGCCTGGGTTCTCTCATCTGTAATGTCGGGGACACGAAGGTCAGCAGAAGAGGGTGAGAAAAGATAATTGGCCATCTGGGCAACTGTTTTTTTTTGGGGGGGTACCAGGGATTGAACTCGGGTCCTTGCGCTTGCAAGGCAGGCCACCAAACAGCTGAGCTAAATCCCTGCCGCCCCCCGCTTTTTAAAACTGTACCAGGGATCGAACTTGGGATCTTGTGCTTGCAAGGCAGGTGGTGGATCCACTAAGCTAAGTCCCCAGCCCTGGGCAACCTTTTTGTAGCTCATTCTGTTTGAAGAATGGTGGGAACCTGAAAGGCTGGGGGCCCCTCCTTCCCACTGATGTTTGGTGAGTCAGGGAGCGAAGGGGCTCCCTAGCCTTGATGTCCAGCAGCAGTCATGGTTCGGCCTGCTTAGCTCCTGCAACAAGGGCCAGTTGCTTTGGAAGCAGGTTTAGGAAGGGCATGGAGGGTAAGGGGACAGGAGGCCCAGGGAGGTGTTCCATGAGAGCCCCTCTGAAGATGCCTGGAGCTCCCCAAGGAAATCTAGACACCTTACATCCGGGAAAGGGGCTGTGGAGGCTCCTCCAGCCTCATCTGTGTGATCCAGGCCTCAGCTACCTCCCCGGCCCCAGTAGCTCAGCCACCTCCACGGCCTCCTCAAGGCTCCTGGGACCCAGTGTAGCCCAGGGATGAGAATGGAAGAGGGCTGCCCCTCTCTGAGACCTCTCACAGCTGTGGCCTCCAGGTGGCCAGCACCCCCACCTGACCGTGGGCCCCTAGCCAGGTGTGCACATGTGGTGGGTGCTTGGTCAGCATGTGCTGTTTAGTGAACAGGGCCAGAAGAGAATGCAGTAGGGAGGGTGGGCAGGGAGTGTTAGGTCAGGCTGGCATCGCTGCACCTGGAAAAACAATGCAGTGAGAGGAACGGCCTTTCAGGTAAAGGCGTTGACTTTTACCTGTCACTGGGTGGGGCCTGGGATGCGTATAGCAGAGAAATTGTCCCTTTTGTCCGTCAGTCGTGTTTGATGTGGATAGGTGGGGATCAGGGATTAAGTAGGCGGGGGGGGGGGGGGGGTAAGCGAG